CTCTCAGCGGTCAGAGGCTTGCTTGCTCTGTGTGCAGATTATTGCCATAGAATAGATAGGACCTACAGCTCCTTTCCTTCCCCATTAAATAGTGGCCTTGTTCAGTATTTTCTTTCTTTTTTTAAATTGCTTACTGTTGGAAGCAACAAAGCACATTTGGGGATTTTCCTGATTGGATCTATGGTGATTGGTTCCATATGAGATGGGATCTCATGACTTGCTGTGTTCTTAACTTCTAATAAAAGAACCAAATGGGATATTGACCAAGTTTGGCTCTTTGTTGTTCTGTGTGATATTTACAAGAGTAAGGCAATTTCTTCTCTCCCTCCCCTACATTTCTGACTGACCAAACAGCCTGTTACTAGGGGACTGAAGGAAAACTGAGATCTGTAGAGTTATTACAGACCTTCGTCCAGCTCCCTCGGGACTCGACTGGTCCTGGACAAGGGAGTTTTCCGGACCAGGGAAGGGAGGCACTAGGCTTTTTGCTGGGCTTCTCTCCCCCAGCTACCTGGCACCACTGCCCTTGGCCTCCTGACTGCAGCAGCCCTGTGAGCTCTGCAGTCCTGCAAGCCCCGGCAGCCCCACCAGTGCCATGAGCTCTTGTGGCAGCCTTGTGGTGCTCATGACCCCACCAGCTGTGGACTCTGCTGCGGGCTCCGGAGTCCTCACCCCATGGGCTCCGGAGTCCTCACCAGCTTCCCAGCCTGGCTGGCTGTGGGCTCCAGTGTCCCATGGGCTCCACTGGCTGGCTCCCCTGCCAATCACTGGCAGCCTTTGTGGTCCAGCAACATCTGTGGTCCTTCTGAACCAAGGATGTTGCTGGACCAGTGAGTCCTGGAACACAGAGTTTCAACCTATACTTGCTTGGAGCAGAGTCTGGGATGTACCTCGAACACTACGACAGGACTTAGATTCAAATAATTGACTTGTTTCAGATTGTTTTACAAGAAGTATTTTTGCCTAGTCCTCAATAGCTGAGCAAATATTATTTAAAACATTTATAAATTGGATCTGCCTAGCAAACCATAAGCCTGTTGGTGATTTCAGGACAACACATAATTCTCTAGAGAGGAGGTTCTCAAACTTTGATACTGCGACCCCCTAAAATGTTAAATGAATGTGTGCCCCCCCCCTCCACCTGCACTGCTCCACGAGTAAAGGGGGAGTTGGGAGGTGTTGGGGGGCAGTGGGGCTGGCCGGGGGAGATTGGGTGGGGGAAACGGGCTGGTGGGAAGCAGGGCTGGTGGGGGGAGTCAGGGGCAGCAGGGCTGGCTGGGGGGAGATTGGGAGGAGAAGTGGGGGAGAACCAGCTGGGAGGGAGTTGGGGGGAGCGCGAATTGGCGGCGGGGAGCAGGACTGACCCAGGTACGTGCAGATCCCAGGGTGCTGCCCGTCCCCCACACAGTACCGGCGAAGCGCGAGTGAGTTTGGCTGCAGCTCCTCCACGTGCTTGACCAGCGCTCCGGAGCATGTACAGGGCTTCCCCTCCTCCCCAAGGTGTCACACGCAACCAGAGGCTCTCGCCCCCCCATCTCCCAGCCACTCCCCCTGCCCCCGCCAGGCTTCCATTGAGCTCCCAGCTGGAAAACCAGAAAATACTGGACATTGCACATATATGGACAGAGGGCCCAAAAACCGGACTGTCTGGTTGAATACTGGACACCTGGCAACTCTAGCCTGTGACCCCCCTCTAAGTTTCTTACCCCTGGGGGTCGCGACCCACAGTTTGAGAAACGCTGCTCTAAAGTTTAAAAATGGTTTGGCAGCTACTTACAAAGTTAAAAGTTTCCATCATCAAAGATGGGGGGGGGGGTATCCTCTTGCTCCATCAGCGTTATGTGCACTTCCTTTGTGTGTCCTGTCTATGCTAACAGGAGAACAATTTTAAAAACTGGCTTGAGTAATTGTGGGCGAAGGGGACCTGTTGGCATTATTGTCATCAATGAGTTACTTCGCTGTTGTGAAGCATCTCTTTCTGGGGGCATATCTGCCACGAAAATCAACACACCAAAGGTCAATCTTCCAGTGTTTGATACAGTGGGTCTGTTAAGAACCCGCCAATTTGAATGCTGACGGTGCCTCCGGTGACCCTGGAACTACTCACAATTGAAAGGAGTAGACAGAGTTTCTCCCATCAACCTCCTGCTGTGGGACTAACCAGAAAATCAATGCAAGGTACATTGACGTCAGCTACGCAATTCACATAGCTGGAGTTGCGCATCTTACATTGATTTTTTTTTTTTCCTCTGCCAGTATAGACCTGGCCTCAGACAATAACTGAACTAAATATCTAGAGAAGCCCATTTTAAAATACTGCCCCGACAGTCACTTGGCTCTAACTGCTTTCAACTAGAAAATAAAAGGTTTGGTCCATGTTTCTGAGGGTGGGTCAGAAGGTGGTTTGGACAGTCACTAGTGTCAACTCTTAACACAGTGCAGTCAATCTTTGGAAC